CTTTGACTGAGTTGGAAAATACTGCAAGTGGAGCAGGTTTGGGGAAGATATAACCAGAAGTGCCATTTTAGACATGGTTAGGCTTGACATGCCTATTAGCCATTCTGATTAGAAATGTCAAATAGGCAAATGGATATACAAGCCAGATTCCTTGTTGGAGATATATGTTTCAGAGGTGTCAGTATTTAAAAGCTAAGCAAGGAAGTATTTTATGGAGGATGAAGTGACCAACAATTTGAAGACTGAAAATAATCCAAATTTCCATCAACTGAGTAATGGATAAACAGAAAGTGGTGTATCTATACAATGGGATACCATTCAGCAATATATACAAACAAACTACTGATACATGCCACAATATGAATGAAACTTAGAAACATTAAACTAAATAAAAGAAACCAAACACACACCCACTCTCTCTCTTACCACATATATATATATACACAGACTGAACATTACATGATTCGATTCAGTTAAAATGAGCTTTCTAAAAAAGTAGATCAGGGCCCCTGGGTGGCTCAGTTGGTTGGGCGACTGCCTTTGGCCCAGGTCATGATCCTGGAGTCCCGGGATCAAGTCCCACATCGGGCTCCCCGCTCAGCGAGGAGTCTGCTTCTCCCTCTGACCCTCTTCCCTCTCGTGCTCTCTATCTCTCATTAAAAAAAAAAAATAAAAATAAAAAAAAAATAAAAAAGTAGATCAGTGGGGAAATTGGGTGGGAATACCTTTGTGAAATGATGGAAGTGCTGTAACACTAGATTTTGGTAATGGTAGCACAACTGTATAAATTTACTAAAACTCAGTGAACTATACTTAAAATGGGTGAGTTTCCTGGGATATAAATTGCACTTTAATAAATCTATTTATTTATTTATTTTTATTTTTATTTTTTTAAAGATTTTATTTATTTATTTGACAGAGAGACACAGCAAGAGAGGGAACACAAGCGGGGGGAGGGGGAGAAGGAGAAGCAGACTCCCCGCTGAGCAGAGAGCTTGATGTGGGGCTCAATCCCAGGACCCTGGGATCACGACCTGAGCCGAAGGCAGAAGCGTAACAACTGAGCCACCCAGATGCCCCTAAATCTACTTTTTAGAAAGAGAGAGACAGAGGAAGAGAAAAAGGGACAGAGAGACAGAGAGAGAAAGAGAGAGAGAGACAGAATCAAAGGAGTGGAATTAGATAAAGTATGAGAGACAAAGATTTTGAAGAGTTTTGTGATGAAAAGGAACAGAAAAGTGAGGTAGTAGGTGAAAGATGACATGAGTCAAGAGAGCTTTGCTTTGCTTTGTTTTTAGGTGAAGGAAGAGACAGTATAGTTGCATGCTTTTGGGAATGATCAAGAAGAGACTAAACAATCTCTGGTGAAGATGCAGATCATCTTTACTGAAGCAATTTCTTAAAGTAGACAGAAAAAGGATGATCTACAGTGCACAAGTTAAGGGATTGGCCATAAAAGTACAACAATGCATCTATACTAAAAAAGGAAAGGGGTGTTGGGTGGCTCAGTGGGTTAAGCATTCAATTCTTAATTTCAGGTCAGGTCATGATCTCAGGGTTGTGAGATGGAGCACCCCCCACCCCCAGTCAGGTGTGGAACCTGCTTAAGATTCTCTCTCTTTCCCTCTGACTCTCCCACATGTACTCTCTCTCTCTCTCTTTAAAAAAGGGGGGTATTTAGAATCTATCAGTACAGATGCTAATGCATGTTTCATTTGGTGGTGAAGGCTGTAGAAGTTATTTCCTAATTGCCTTCCTTTCCCCAGTGAAGTTAGATGCATGGTTATCAGCTGAGAGTGGGGATGGCAGAAAAACTGAAGGATGGGAGACATACCAGATTTGACAGAATTACAGTAAGAGAACTAAAATTATTTTTCTTTTTAAAATTTCTGATCTGCATTAAAGTGTCCTTGAAATTCATAGCTTGGGGGACGCCTGGGTGGCTCAGTCAGTGAAGCGGCTGCGTTCAGCTCAGGTCATGATCCCAGGGTCCTGGAATCGAGTCCTGCATCGGGCTCCGCTTCTCCCTCTGCCTGCAGCTCTCCCTGCTTGTGCTCTCGCTCACTCTCTCTCGCCTATGCTCTCTCTTTCTAGCAAATAAATAAATAAATTCTTTAAAAAAAATTCATAGCTTGGCTTTTATACTCAGATCAGTCTGCATAAGTCTCTCTGGTTCTTTTCTTTTACAGTCATATTAAATCGAGTAGGTTTGGGCAGGCAGTAGGCTGAAAGTTGGATCTACATTAAGATTAAGGTTTTGCCAACTGTTGAGTCAGTGTGATGAAGCATAAGAGGGATGAGAAAATTGAAGTTTTATGCAAGAATGAGAAGGAACTAGGATCAATGATTTGTAGATTTCAATGACGTTAAAGGATTCCTAGAATCAGGGTATTGGAAGGAATAAGCAGAAGGTAGTAGATGCTAATAAGAAGTGTGGTAATTGAGAGATTGTAGCTGTTTGTAATAACAGATCAAGTGGCCATGGATGGTTGTAAAATAAGAGCATCACAATGGAGAAATAAGAGGAATGTAGAGGACAGGGTGTTGTAAGACCTCTGCTGAAATTACCAAATATTAAGCCTGGAGCAATATTGAAGAAACTGACAGTGACCCAGGTGGTAAAATCTCAGGAAATTAAGATAATGAACTGGGAGAGTGTAAATGACCGCAGCAAGAAAGTGTACAGTCTAAGGGCTCGAAATTTAAAACTGAGGGTTTGTAAGGAGGAAGGGAGAATGCAATGGGTGATGAGAGGAAAGGAGGATATTTGTTCCAATCTTACTCTGAATGGTACATACAAATTGGGAGAATAAATAGCCATGACTTTAAAGGGCTGTGTGGAAACCATATCTGCAGGGTATATGCAAATTTCAGCTGAAGCAAGAATATAAAAGGGATGTTCAACAAAGAACCTTAAAGATAGGATTTGACTGATCAGGAGAAAACTACTCATCTGGTAAGTGTTAAGACATTGGTCTGGATGCTGAGTTACTCCTGTTATTTTGGGCTATGCACATATCCCCTAAAATTCTGTGGTGCTAACACTGATGTTTGAATGGATCATTTGACGTGAAACCCCAAAATGAGTACCTAGTAGAATACAACCTCTCCCACCATATTAAGGTATACAATCAGTCTAATGTATATATATTTTTATTTATTAAGTAATCTCTACACCCAGCGTGGGGCTCAAATTCAAGATCCTGAGATTAAGAGTCACATGTTCCACCAAGTGAGCCAGCCAGGTGCCCCAGGTGTATATATTCTTACAACATATACACAATAGCTACCATCTGGCATTACTCTTATTGATGTCAGTCAGATATCACATCTTTATTTCACCAATTATTAATATATATTCTTATCTCTTGCTTATCATGTATGCAATTCATTATTACTACTTTTCCCCATTAGAAATCTCTGTAGTTTTCTTTGGCAATTGGATAATTTGTCTTTGTGTAATCTTGCAGTTTTGCTTCCTGTATCATTCTCTCACATTTCCCTTTTCTGCACATGTTCTAACAGCCTTGCAATATAGGTTATGTTTCAAAAAATCTTGCTTTCATGTTAACTCCTGTAAGTCTGATGGTGAACACTTTCATCTGCTCTATAAAGAGCAGATTCCTTTGTTCTCCTCCTCTTCCTTCTTCTCTTTCATCTTCAACAATTATTCATCTAATATTGCTCCTTAAACTAAGTCTACTAACCCAACATTAGACATAGCATATATTGATGCTATAGGATTCTCTTAAACCTACTAAAATTTTTTATCTTATCCATAGAAAAAAAGTTACAACACATGTTTCCTTGAAAGAATCTAAGCCTAGAATCACAAGGAGGTAAGACTAAGTATGTTTACTGTAAAAGTCCCCAAGCTACTCACAGAAGGAGTAGACTGAATTGACTAATAAGAATTAGGTGGGGGAAAACTAAAAAATTGGTTCCTGATAGTAATTATTATCTGAGTTTCAAAGCAAAATGTTTTTTTGAAAATATTTTCTTATTGAAATATAATTTTCTTTTTCCTCAATTAAAAAAATTAGCAAGGGGGTCAGATAAAGATGAGAAATTTTAAGAAAATTGATTGAGGTCCTATTTTAATTTATGATAAGAATCATCCATGGTAGAACAAAGTTGGGCCCCATTACTACACCGATAATTACAACCTAGAAACAAGTATGATTTTCACACTAAACAAAGAAGAAAAATTGATTGAGATGCCAGGACTGAATTCAGTTTCCTGTTAACGCTAAGGTCTTTGCTATTTCTCAGATAGACATTTGATTCTCTCTCTCTAATTGATACTGGCTGCTCTTAAATTGTATTATAGGAAAACTAACTGAGATACAAAGAGGTACTCATCTCAAATTATAGAACTAAAAAAAAAAGTATAATTAGCTGGGTTGGCAAAGGGAATATAATTAATCTGAGCACAGTTTACTATTCTGTTCCTCCAAACCCCATGAAGTACTAACCTATTACCATGACTTTTACAAATAAGAGCTCAAGTGGCCAAAAAGTAATATGTAAATTATAGTAATTATAGTTTTGTTTGAAACTCAAAAAAATATTTCTTAGCAGTTTTTTTCCATTGTGACAAACAACACCATAAACAACCCAGTTTCAAGCCTATCTCTGAAACAAAATGCATGTTGTTATTCAGTTAACTCTGACACTCCAAATAATTTTGAAAAGTTTTTACTCTCTCAGCTTATCACATTCCTTGTGCTTCGGGCAATGTTTTCCTCACTGGTGGCAGGCAGAGACATAACCACAACAATCAACAGTTAGAATGGCGATAAAACAATCTTATCATAGGAGTGCAGTCTTCTGTCCAGTGGTAGAGTATATGATCTTTAATTACTAAGCTGGTACTCTGGTACATTTCAAAAAAACCATGCACATTTCACCTGGAATGTTTCTTAGTCAATACCCTGTCTAAAAGAATGAGCATATAGTAAAAGAGATCAGCAGCAATGTAGAATGGGATCCTACTGTACCTGGAGAATGAGGCGGAGGAGAGCACATCAGAACAACCCCCTGGCCTTCCCTCACCGAGACTGCACTTCTTGTCCGGCCACTAAAATTTCCCAGATCTGTCAATATAACACAGCATTTAGATGCAAGGCAAAAAAAAAGGTTAAAGAATTTCTACTTTTATAACTTGTACCTATACTTTTATAGGTACCTTGTACCTTTCCACTTTTATACCTGAAACTTTCTCTCATTACACAAAGTTTATTTTTGTTTGTTAGGCAGTGATATCAGGGCTTTAAAAATAAATCTATACCATACAATTTTAAATACCACAATTTTCAGATTATATGCACTACATACTATTTCTATTTATAGTGCATACAAGTTGCCAGTATAGGAAGAAAATAGACAATGCATTTATAACACATTAAATAGTCCTTTTATTTCTATATACAATTTTTACATATTGATTTTTCTAATACTAATAAAACCAAATCATGCATAGTGAGAAGAGAAATAGAAGTGGTTAGGGGTGTCTTGTGTCCAACTTGGTGCCTCATTGTGTCATGCTAGGAATGGTGTGTAAAACCAAGCATGAATTTTCTAAATTAGAGAGACTTATGTGCTCTAGCAGAATATAATGAGGATATAAAGTATTCTTTTTCTATAAATGTGAGTGAAAAAGTCATGTTATTTCCATTTTATAGAAGCCTGGAATGGCTTGTACAAATTAATTATACCCATCCATTTTCATTACTCTAGAACTATCATAGTTATCAAAATACTCAACTATATGTATGAAGAATTACAACATTGATTGGGGTTCAACTCCCTTCTCTTAAATTATGTTGCATTTGCACAATTTGAAAATACTTTCCTAAAAATAAAGTTACCTAAAAAATGAAGTATATTATTTGTATTTCTATTACTGTTTATTAATCTATTCATAGTTCAGTATATATGGCCTTTTCCCCCTTCTTGGGCTAAGTTGATCAAAGATATGATTTTTAGAATAGTGTCCTGGGAATGGTAGGATTTCAATATTTCTAAAAATAAACAATGTCCCAGAATTCTCAGTCTGTAAAATCATGTTCCCCTGGTGAAAAATACTTCTTGAAAATGTTCTGCCTTTCCCTCCATTATTCACCAACTGTAAAGGAGGTTTTTTTTTGAAACTTCTTATTACTCACAGTAATACAATGTAGACTCTCAAATTTAATGTTTGTTAATCTGTCAAATGATGAGAGTAAGCAGTCAAGAAAATATACTGAAATTATATGGAGATAAATCACTAACTTTAATATCCTAAGAGGAATCTTATACTTTTTTTGAGATATATGCAACAATTTACTGATTTACTGAATATACAATCAAATCTTCTTTTTTTATGATTTTTTTTAAGATTTTATTTATTCATTCATGAGAGACAGAGGGATATATATATAGAGAGAGAGAGAGAAGCAGAGGGAGAAGCAGGCTCCCAAGGAGCAGGGAGCCCGATGCGGGACTCGATCCCAGGACCCTGGGATCATGACCTGAGCCGAAGGCAGATGCTTAACCATCTGAGCCACCCAGGTGCCCTACAATCAAATCTTCTTAAACACATTCAAAATCACGAGGAACTACTAAACCACGAAGGCATAATGCCAAATAAATAAAAAAAGTATTCATTATTGATGAAAGTGTTTATAATTTTACACATAATTCTATGTTTCAGGGATGCCTGAGTGGCTCAGTTGGTTAAGCATCTGCCTTCAGCTCAGGTCATAATCCCAGGGTCCTGGGATCGAGTCCAGCATCAGGCTCCTGCAGAAGCAGCCTGCTTCTCCCTCTGCCTCTGCTTCTCTCTCTCTCTCTGTCTTTCATGAATAAATAAATAAAATTAAAAATATATATATCTGTGCTTCATTGTCAATAGTTAAGCATTTTACAAACTGGATAGATTAGAAAGAATTGTCCTAATTCTTTCTTTTCTTTTTTTTTTTTTTGATGTTGGTTTGACAACATACACACTAACTTCTGGTAAAATCAAGTTTACTCATTTTCAAATATGTATGATTCATGGCTTTAAATTCCTATGCATTGATTCTTAGGGATAGAAGCTGTCTTTTTCCAATAAAAGATCTTAATATGGAAACAAGCATGGCAAGATTTCTAATTTGACTTCCTTTGACCACTCTTGGACACAGGGACAACACAGTGAAGCAGTGATTGCATTAAGGTTGTAATGCCTCTTTAGGCATGGTTTTACTTTCCTTTTTTCATCCTTGCTGAATTTATAAACTCTGGAAGGCTATTTGGATATCAATGTATTATAACTGAATTTTTTTTAAAGATTTTATTTATTTATTTCTCAGAGAGAGAGAGAGAGAGAGCGAGCAGGAACACAAGCAGGGGGAGTGGGAGAGGGAGAAGCAGGCTTCCCGCTGAGCAGGGAGCCCAATGCAGGGCTCGATCCCAGGACTCTGGGATCATGACCTGAGCCAAAGGCAGACGCTTAATGAATGAGCCACCCAGGCACCCCTATAACTGAATTTCTTAAATGGTTTTTGAAAAAAAAATTCTTCCAATACATTTACTACAGGTTTATGTTATGCTTATTCTGACATTTTAAATCAACCTATTATAGTAAACAGAATATTTTAATAAAGAACAGTCCTAAATTAATTTCTATATCTGAGAAACAGAAGTATAGCCATGGCCTAGAAATTAGACATGAAAAAGAAAAGAAAATTATAGAATAATTATGACCCAAATTGTGTTTTGAGATCACAATGACCTGGAAGATAACACTAAGTTGTAATTGCTTTATTGGGTATCAGCTGTTAATACAGGTACAATTCAACATTTCCTCATGGAATTTTCTGTGTCATTATTTCCTAGGAAGTATAGCAGTAGAAAGATAAATGGATTTTTTCAATTGTGAATACATTTCTTTCTTTCATAAAACATATAGGGAAATACTAAAAAGGAGACTGAATTTTTACGGAGAGTGTACTTTTCTCATTTGAATCCTTCCTCCTAAGGAAAAAAACAAGTGAAATATTATCTATAATGTAAAAATGGTCCTTGTGTTAGGCAAGATTTTGGTTATCTGTGGCAGAATGATTTATGTGAAAAAAATTATTGGTTAGACTGGGGATGGCAATTGGGCAGAATAGTCTTAGTGAAAATACAGCTGGTTATTTTTATCTCATTGTGAATGAAAGCAGTTACTTTCTTTGGAGGTACTTATCAGAGAACTTAGTTTGAGTGCTTATTACATTATTTTAATAGCTTATACATTGTATATATCAAGGAGATAAAAAAACAAGAACATTTATGGATGGAGCTTTGATTATTCTATTGACACATGTAATAAGTACATGTTGATATGTTCTATTTTTGATTTGTAAGGGAAAATGAGTAAAAATTAAAATCTTAGTACAAGGACTCCAAAATTCAGGTTAAAGTCTTGAACTGAAATAAACCTCTTTCTGAACTTATAAAATAGCATGTGGACAAATAGACAAGTAATGGACTAGAGGAAAAATTTGGTGATCAAGAATCACAGGGGTCTAGGCCTTGTCTTTTCTCTAACTCTTTTTCCAAGTTCAGAAGTTCATGCAGAGTTTGATAGTGGAACTTTAACTAGAACTGCAGCTTACAGAAATATTGTACCTATTCATCCTCAATGAACCATGCAAAGAAAAAAAATGGTATATAATAAATAATGTGTTTGAGAACCTCACATGACAGAATGTAGATTTAGGATGTGTGATTTGAAGCATTTTCAACAAACGTAAGATAAATAATTTCATCCATTTATTTAATAAATATTTTTTCAGTGCAAACCACACACTGAACACAATGTTAGGTACTAGGGTTACAGAAAAGATGCAGAGGAAGGATGTAGATGTATGAATTTATCATATCTACTTGGACCAACTTTCCATAGACCCAGCTGAGAGGAATCTGTGCCACCAAATAGATGTATGAGCCCAAACTATCACAGCTTCAGCTTGTCACAGCCATCCTTATGAGTAACCATGTAGCATTTCATGATATTCTCCTATATGTGAGCTACACATATACACACACACATACAATTTGAGTTTTTTCCTTCCTTTCTCTCCTTCCTTCCTCCACCGGCCTACCCTTCCACTTTCCTTCTCCCCCTTTCTTCCTTGCATTATTCCGCAAAGGATTTGAAACATCTTAAAATACATTTGTATATAATACAAAAAGATCAAATAAGTGGTTTACAGATTCCAGGTGAAGATAAAATGGGTATGGTATGAATCCTGTAGGTTAAGATTAACACTTAAGAATATATGTCATATGCTTTTATAAATTATTAGAAGTTGGCCATTAATTTTACTTTAAACTTAAAGGGTCAAAATAAAGATGGATATATTTCCAGTCTTAGCATTCATGGTTATGGCAAGATAAAAATTTTCCAGTAACTCAGTGTAAGAATAATGTTAATAGATTGTAAGCTTTATAGAAGGATTTCTCCTGAAAGACTTCATAAAGATCACACTGGGTGGTATAGTGGGTTGAACAAATTTGCAAACAAATTAGGAAGGTTTTTCACCCATTAAGACACCTTAAGTAGGTATAGTACACATGCACACATACATACACATGAAAACATTTCAAAAATCATTGCCTAGACAGGTGAATTATTTGAAAGTGTTAGAGAAAGAAAGTACATTAAGGGGTTCAGGACACTGATCTTATGATCTTAGGTTAAGTACAATAGATTGGTTAGTTACTAGGGAGAAATGAGGGAAAAGGATCAAGGCAACAGGATAAATCTTTTTTTAAAAATTTTATTTAAAATCAATTAATTAACATAGAGTGTATTATTTGTTTCAGAGGTAGAGTTCAGTGATTAATCAGTTACATATAACACCCAGTCCTCATTACATCATGTGCCCTCCTTCATGCCCATCACCCAGTTATTCCTTCCCCCTACCCACCTCCCCTCCAGCAACCCTCAGTTTGTTTCCAATGGTCAAGAATCTCCTATGGTTTGTCTCCCCCTCTGATTTAATCTTATTTTATTTTTCCCTCCCTACCCCTATGTTCATCTGTTTGTTTCTTAAATTTCACATACGAGTGAAATCATATGATA